GCCCCCCACATCATTTAGAAAGTGAAGCTCATATAGCAGCCCACCCCTGTCTCTTCCTTTCAAAGAGGTCATCAGCTTCTAGTTTTTATGTAATTTCCTTTAAAAAAAAGAAAAAAGAAAAGAAAAAGAAAGTTTTTTTTTCTGTGCACAAAGATTGATTCATTAGATGTTTTTGTCTCTGGGCATTGAACAGCCTTTAGCTGAATAGGGTTGGAGTTCATGTAACTTAATTGGAAGAGTGTAATTTCCAACATCTCCCTAGGATATTCACTATGAATGGTGAGACACAAGAAAAAGAAATTGCTGATGTTTAATGTTTTATGCTGTGGAAAGGATTCATTGTTTCGCTCAGCAGCTTGAGTGCTTTAGGAGTAGGAAGGGGTCTCCCTGTCAAGAATGAACACAGAACTTTTCTTTCACCCTCATGATGTGAGTGGATGTGAAAGAAACTAAAATACTCTGAGTTTTCTACTCACATCATCACAGTCACCTTGAGATACCAAAAGTTTGAGAAATATCACCCTTTTAGAATTTGCTGCACAGTTATCAGCAATTCTGCACAGTCATCTGCAATTCCCTTAATTTCTTGTTAAAGGCAGTTATCACAATTACAATTTTCCCACACTTCTGAACAAAAACAATAGTGAATTGTCATCTAGGGAACTCCAAATGGAAGGAACAGCAACAATTTTGGCACCATTCCCAACTAAACCATCAAAAGTTTTAGCAACATGGCACTACTGCTTAAAACAAGAAACTTTCTGCAAATGCCTGCTGCTGACTTAACGGTGACTCTGCTTACCAGAAAAACTACACAGTGGTTGAAAAAGCCTTGGAAAGTGCTGAATCGACTCCTGCATAATAACTGAGTGAATGACAGCTGGGGAAAATATTGGAATTCTAGAAATGTTTTTGTTATTTCAGAATTTTTTTGCAATGCAAGCTATAGTATCTGGTTGATCTTATGACTTCAATACTCGTTTTTTAGAAGGTGTTTAAAATATTTTGAGATTCACTGTACAAGCTGGCCAGGCTCCCAGCTGCCTCCTGGCTAAGAGACCCTTTCTGGAAGATGGAAGCCAAAAGATCCTTCCCATAGGATGTTTGGTTACCTTAAATCCCATAATGTCATCTGTGGCTGTTCTCCCATCCACAGTATGCGTGGATATGTGAGGACACAGTCCTCCACACTTCCTCATGAAGTCCTCCACACTTTCCACATGAAAAGGAATAATACTCTGAAATGTAAATGTAACTACAAATATGGTGTATCCTTACTACTGCTGCTGAACATCTCACACTCGCAGATAAATTGAACAGGAAAGTGATTATCTCCTCGATTTAACTACTGATTTGTGCTGCTACCCCTTTTTCCTTCAAAAGATGAAGCTGTGCTGGACTGCAGAACCTGTCCTTGGAGAGCAGAGATTATTCATGTGACGCAGCACCCAACTCCCTCAGGATAATCCCGCTGAAGCCAATTGCTCTACTTTAGTTCCACACCCGTATTTGCACAACAAAGGGGTAGCAAAGACAAAGAACCATTTACAAATGAGGTCTCCCACTGCCACGGGCAAGTTAACTGATTAGGAAATGCAAATTTGTTGAGTGTAACTTCCAGGAGGGAAAGGAGTAGCTAAGTAGCATTAGCTACTTACTTAGTAAATAATTAGCTAAAGCAGCTCAGACATTCGCCCGGGGCTGTGGGTGAGGGATGTGTGTTAGGGTGAGTGCTGCCCTCCTCCAGCTCTGCTCTCAGCAGCGTGAACTCCGATCCTTCGGCCAGCTTAGACAGTAAAACTCTGTCAGATGTCTGCCTAGGGATGGTAAGGCAGCATTTCTGATTGCTGGATAACACATGCAAATAAGAAAAGCAAATCATTCTGTAATCCTCTCTACCTCAGAGGGGAAAAAGATTCAAGATTAACCTTAATTTGTGCTGTGGTTTAGTCCAATACGTGCAGACTGACGATTCCTCTCCCACTTTGACTTTAAAAATTCGGGTAAGGAGAGGCCACAGGGAGAGAGGCGCTTCCAGCATCCTGCAGCTCTTTCAGCTGCCTTACCGCGTGGATTTAATGCAATTCGGATTACCCAGGATGGCTCCACCAGCATCCATCACCCCGCATGCAGGTGCTGGCGTGACAGAGCTCAGCAGCTCTGCACACACACAGACACGGGCTGCCCTGATCAAAGGCCAGCAGGGAAGCAGGTGACAGCCCGGCTTCCCCAAATTTATCTCATATTAAATTGGCTGAACTCTGTGCTATTCGAGATTTTAGAAGAATATCGATCAGATGTAACAGGCTGTTCCTCGATTTCTAAGATTTTACTCTTTCCTGTACTTTGCAATCCTCTAATTTATCTGCTGTACCTTCAAGTGATTTGAATTTTATTCATCACAACTCAACCTTAATTCTGTAACACTTTTCTCTGTCATTATTCAATTTTTGGCATATGTCAGTTACGACACAGGACATTCTTTTTCCTTCAGGAAGGCCTTGAAATCATATTTATGAAAATGTAATATGGTTTAGGATGCTGGGCTCGTTATGCATATTTTTACACTAAGATTCACACACAAGTGTTCAAGAATAAGAACCTGCCTGGTGCCTATCTTGGGATGTGAAGGCAAACATGGTACAAAAAGGGGTGACATAATTTTGTCTACCAAACTCATTATTCTTTAAAATTCTCACAAAAGAACCATTCTTCAACTGATTTGACAGTGAGTGTAAACATCTTTCCCTCTGTGTTCTTTCAGCTTTACTTTGGGCTTTCTGCACCGTGGTGCTTATTTCTCTATCACACACTGGAGGCTGAGGCATCTCAGGACACAGGGAAATTGTGCTTTTCTCTCTTCTTTTTCCAGATGTCTTAGCTGTGCAGCCTGGAAAAGGCATATTCCATTTGCATTGTTCTCTCTTCTCACTCACAAAATGCACACTTCCATATTTAGCAGAGATTTGTTTCCTAAACCTCATTAAGCAGGGAATACTTTTACTAATCCAATTCAGCAAATTATAATTTTATCAGAATTGTCCTTTAGAAAGAGCTTTCAGAAATTGCTCTGCAACTCATCTGGAAAATGTGCACAGATAGAAGGATTTATTTTCCAAGCAGGGAGTCTTAATCTGTCATTACAACAAAACAAAACAAAACAAAACAAAACAAAACAAAACAAAACAAAACAAAACAAAACCCAACAACAAAAAAACAAACAAACAAAACCAATACAGGACAATAGTTAGTGTTGCTAAAATTAATATAATGTCTGTTTTCTATGCTGTAGAAAGAAATCCAGCATCTTACAAGAAATGACCTTTACATGAATCTCTTTGGGGGCACGCATTGCCCTCACAGCTGCTGTCAGTATTTAATGTACCTGGAGCTGGAATCAGCAGTGACAAACACACATGGGTTCATCTCTTCTGCTCACACAGCTCACAACATCTCACGGAGCCTTTTTTGGCTGGATTTTTATAGCACAGGCTGCCGTGGGACCCAGGGGACGTGGAAGTGACGGAAGCACATCATCCTGAGGTCTCAGCCCACACTGCCTGCGCTTTGTTTTCCTCAGGATGAAATTAAACAGCACAAGATTTAATAAACCGCTTCGGATTTTATTATTTCGCATGGGTCCGACTTTGGTGAAGATGCTGAAGTACCAACATGCTAATTAATGATGACAAAAGAGTAACAAATCACAGTAGATCCAGCCTGAGCAAACAGCAGCAGGAAGAATGCTGAGGTTGTAAGAATTAACAGATGATTAAAGATGCATTGGGCTACGCCTTAGTCATGGACTGAAAATGTCATTAAAAAAGTCACCAAACCCTCTATAAATAACTCCATGATTATTTCTCGGGGAAATCATCAGCTGTTGCAACACTGCTCCATTGTTTATTTTCCTTCATCAACAGAAGAAACACTGAAGTATTTACTAGATTTTTTAAATGTTATTTTATAGACCACTGTCTATAGAAAAAGTAATGTGTTCACCATATACAGCTCAGGGAATAACAGAAAAATTTTAATCTGATGAAAAATTAATTACTTTCGAAATGACAGAATAATGAACAAAAAAAGCACAAGGTCAGGTTCTAAAATGAAGTAAAACACTGATCAAAATGCGGGATAGCCACTTCTTTTATCCTTATACAACCAAACCCAGAATTTAGCACAGGGTACTTGATTCTGCCACCAAAACACGACTTGATTCTTTGCATGACAGCACTAAAACAAATTACTTTGTGCCGTAGCCTCCCCTTGAAACCCGAAGCCCATTCGCACTGCCTCCTGCCTGCTCAGCACAGCCACATGCAGCGGCCCATGGTGCGCTCTGCAGGGTGAGCCAAGGAGAAAGGCGGGCAGAGCCGGCCACAGGGGCAGCATTCCCCGGCTTCCCTCAAACAGCCCGGGGGGCGGATGGATCCGCAGGGAGACATCGCTGCCTTTGGAGCAGCCGGGCCCTGCGCTGGGGCCCAGGGGACAGGGCCGGGCAGCCGTGCCCAGCCCTGCAGCGCCCTGTGCGGGAAGGGCCGCAGAGCCCGTCCTGCTCCAGCCCTGCCCGGCCAGGGACACCCGCTCCAAGCCCCGTCCGACCGGCCCTGGCCACCGCAGGGATGGAGCAGCCACAGCGGCTCAGGGCTGCCTGTGCCAGGGCCTCGCCACCCGCACAGCGAGGAACTCCCCGCAAAGCCCAGCCCCGGTGTGGGTCTGTGCTGATCCAGCTCCGGGACTCCCCTAACGCACCCCGGGTGAGGCGCGGGGGGCGGACGGCACCGGCCGCGGAGCCCCGGCGGTGGGGCAGCCGCGGTGCCGATGCCTGTGCTGATCCCGCTCCCCATCCCGGTCCTGCTCCCTATCCCCAATCTCCAATCCCCAATCCCGGTCCCGATGCCAATTCCAGTCCCGTTTCCAGTCCCGATCCCGATCCCGATCCCGATCCCTCACACCGATCCCCCCTCAGCGGGCGGGCGGGGGCGGGCCCGGCGCATGCGCGATGCCGTGGCGGGCGGTGCCTCACGGGCTGGCGGGAGCCGCGGCCCGGCCATGTCCGAGGCGTATTTCCCCGTGGGCCCCGGGCTGGGCATGGAGGAGAACTTCCTCTCGCTGGACGACATCCTGATGTCGCAGGAGAAGCTGCCGGGCCGCGCCGAGAGCGCGCTGCCGCGCCTGGCCGTGTTGATGGGGCAGGGCGCCGGCAGCGCCGAGTCCGTCCCGGAGGTAACGGGGGAGGGACACGGGAATGTCGCTCTTTTGCCTTTTTTTTTTTTTTTTTTTTTTTTAAATATACGCGTTGCCTGTTTGTTTTTTGTACCTTCTTCTTTTTCTCTTGCTGTTTCATCAGCTGACAGTTCTTAAACCATAGAGTGTCAATGGAAAGTCCACTTTCTGAGTCTTGCTGTAATAAGGCCTCTGAAGTGTGTCTGGTTTATGCTGCAGTCACAAAAGACTATTCTGAAAACAAAACTGACTTTTTTAATGCTGGATTCTCATTAATAAAGTTCACTCTGTGTCTTGGGGCTGCTTCAGGGGTACTTTAATGGCGAGGATAACTTTTGGCTGCTCTGGTTCCTCCAGGGATCAAAGCTGGAAATCCCCCTGTGGCTTGCTAAAGGGCTGCATGACAGCAAAAGGAGAATCATCTCCGTGGAACTGCCAAAGATTTACAAGGAAGCCTGGAGGACGGTGTTCAGTGCTGATGCCAACGTGGTTGATCTGCATAAAATGGGGCCCTACTATTATGGATTTGGCTCACAGCTCCTGAATTTTGAGAATCCAGAGAATCCTGAGATAGCTCAGACTATCCTGCAGGCAAGTATCTGAATCAGTTATTGAAACTTAGATTTGCATTTTCCTGTCTTCATTTTGTTCCCAGCTGCTTAGCAGTCTTCAGGAGAAATATCCTGGTTTAACCCAAATGACTTCTGGATTGAATATGGATGTCCCTCTTGGCAGCTGCACAGGCTGGTGCTGGAAGCCTCCACTGTGCATCCAGGAGTGCAATTTTAGCTTGGTGTTTCCACACCGAGTATGTGAGTATGGTATTTCATAAAATCCTGTAAAACAGGACTAGAGGAGATGCAGGATTATTTAACTATACCTGTCTTTAAATCTTTCTAACGCTGAGACCTGACACTGCTCTGAGCAATCTCTTTCAGTACCTTGCCAGCCTCACCTTAGGAGGTTTGCTCCAATGTCTGAATTAAAGCTCCTTCACAGCGATACAAGCTCTGTTCTGTTTGTCTCTCACAAAGTAAATGCTGAGGACAAATTATTCTCTTCCTTCCTGCAGCAGTCCCAGTTCATTTGATGTTTCTCTGTGGGTCATGCTCCCTAACCTCCGACTGCCCTCAGTGTGCACTGCTGGTGCCTCTGCAGTGGACAGCATCCACCACGCCGTGCCCTGAACAGCAGTGCAGTCTCGTGCTCAGGACTTGTGCTGCAGCAAACAAAAGGATTGCTTTGTGAGTTTTGTGTGGCTGTGATGCTCTTGGCTCATCACGATGCAGTCACACGGGTCTGTGTTTGGCTTGCAGTCCACAGTGAGGTGGTACAGGTTGCATCTGTGAACAAATAATTTCCTGACTCTGTACTATTTCTGCCTTAATGTAAAACCTTCCTGGGTGATGACAGCCTATTGTTTTCATATCATCTTTCTAATTAGTCAGGGTTGTTAATGGATTAAAGAGTTCTGCTCCCCGACATGCCTGTAGTCATCCCTTCTCCTGCATGTTGTGTGCTAATTTAGTAGGCACAGCTTCTATTCCTTTAGTAAGCTCATTAATTAGCATCTCAAGCAGTAGCTGGTTCCACAGAGACCCCAGTGGAACTCCACTCAGTGTGTTCTTCCCTCCTGACAGGAGCTGTGGATGATGGCTGTCTCTCCTGACCGTCTTTGGGTGCTCTGGCTACATCTTCCAAGAGTGCCCCATGACAGATACCCCTCTGCTGCTCTCCCTGCCTGTGCAAGGCCTGGCACCCTGCCCTAGCAGGAAACCAGGCTGGGCTCTGGGAATTTGTTCTTGGCAGGTCCATGATGCCTGTGATTCTTTTGTTATCTTGCAGAAGTTTCTGTATTGCTCCTTTGTTCCAGTATGCTTCCAGGAATTGATGCTGATGGATTTATAATTGCCTGGCCCTTCCCTTCTCCCCCTCCAGCTCTCCTTTCTCTTTTAAAAGATAGATGTCATCTTTGTCTGTTTCCGGACTTCAGTCTTCTTGAGCTTTTAAACATAACCACTAACAGCTCTGAGATCTCTTTAGCCAGGTCTCTAAGTGGGCTGGGATGATTTTTATTGCATTTTTTTCCTTTTCTGTGTGCTTTACATTAAGGCTGATGCAGAGAGGCTTTAAAGTGCTGCTGCTTTCTTGGAGCTGTCCACTGAACATGTGCTTTGTGCATTCAGGAGGTGCCCATGCCTTTCCTTGTCTTTTCTTTTTCTGCTAATGGACATCTTAGGGGAAAAAAGCCACAGAGGAATTCATTACTTACTGACAGAAAAATCAAAGCATGCCAGGTTTGATTTCTCTTTCTAAAAGCAAACAAGGCAGGAGTTGTGCTGAGTTAAAAACCTATAAGTTTATCTTTATTTAACCTATTACTTTATCCTATAAGTCCTGGTAATTCTAAAATCAACTTCTGAAATAACAAAGCACAGTTTTCAAAGAGTTCTGACCCTTTTTTTCCGGTTGTCAAAAGGAAAGATCGGAAAATAAAAGGCCTTAAATATGTCTTGTTGCTTAGCTTTTCAAAATACAATTTATAAGTTGCAGATTGGTTTGTTTTTTCACCTTTTTCACGGTTAAGTGTTTTTCTAGCATACTGAATGCTTTTCAGCAGCAGTTTGGCTTAGCTTCCAGGACATTCACAACTTGCAGCTTGTACATTCCTGCAGCAGCTGCTGTGGCATGAGATTCATTCCTTCTGCTCTAAAGCAGTGATTGCTTTAGAATCATAGAATAAATCAAGAATAGATCATAATTGTTTTGTATCCTGTGGTCTCCTCAAGCCTGTTGTGAGAAAGCAGCCAAAATTCAATTCTTTGTTTGATTCCCAACCGGTATCAGGTATTTGATGTCCCAGCCCAGGCATGAAGTGCTTTTGTTTTGTAGCCAAGCTTAACAAGTGCTGTGCTGGTTGCAGACCCTTGGCTTGTTTTGAACAGGAGCCTAAACCTTTGGCTTTTCCATTTTGAAAGCTCAGGCCTCCAGGTGTGAGCTGGTGGCTCTGTGTTTCCTGTCAGTGACTCTGTTTGTTCCCCTCAGACGTTCATTGCCCGTTTCCGCCGCATCATGGACTCCTCTCAGAACGCCTACAACGAGGACACGTCTGCGCTGGTGGCACGGCTGGATGAGCTGGAAAGGGCTCTCTTTCAAGTGGGCCAGAAAGGGCTGAATGACTTCCAGTGCTGGGAAAAGGGACAGGCTTCTCAAATCACAGCTTCCAGCCTGGTGCAGAACTATGGGAAAAGAAAGCTCACAGAAGTGGATGGTTGAAAGTCTGAAGAACATGAAGTTACAGCGGGGAATACAGATCTACAGCCTGTTGTAGAAGAGAAAAATCAATCATTTTAGGGAAGGAGAGGCTCCCTGTCCATTAATGGGCATTCTTCTCTGTAGCAGCTTTGTATAAAACTAATGAAAATTTTAAAGGCAGAGGGCAAGGGTATAAAAACTAGATGACACCACTGAACAGCCTTACAGCTTACTCATAGCACTCCTGAGGAGTTGCAGCTAAAGTGGTTGCTAGGTGGCTGAAAGGCTATGAGAGGATTTTCTAAAAGGGTAATAAATACTAATTATTGCTCCAAATTGATATTTACTATACCAGATCTGGACAGAAATGTAATTTATGTATTTCATCTTGTCCTTCCCATCCCAGCCTCCTGGAAACAACTGTTGATTCTTTGAACAGCTGTTTCCAGGTTCCCTGTTCTTTAGAGAGCCCAGTGATGTGGAAAAAATGTGATACAGCATTATTTTTTTTTTTCATTTCTTATACACTGAGGTGGAACAGGTGCTCTTTGTGAGGCTGGAATGTTTTTCTTTGCTGACTCCTGTACACAGTAGCAGTGCCCTGGAGAGAAATACCTCCTCAAACCCACACAGCAAGTGGCTGCACAGGTCTTGTGCTACCTTATCCACTCTCTCTTTTTGGCCCTTGTGACCTTGGTGCTGTGCAGTAAAGAGTGTTTTTGTTTGATGCCTGTGGCTTTTGTGCTGGATTTGTCTCTGTGATGGGTGTTCTACAGAGGAGGAAGCAGAAGGCAGCAAAGAGTAAAGTCTGGACCAGATCAAAAGCAGAAACTTCAATGGAAACTCTGCCCCGTTATCAACCTTTGAGATACTTGTTCCTCCCTGAGAAATTTGTCTGATTTCTAAATTTGGTTAGTAGAAGGGACAGAGCAAATGAACTGAGTTTCCTTCCTTCTGATCCATCCAAATGAATCCAGGAATACGATCCTGGTAAATGTCATCCTTGCCAGTAGGAGTGACTGGATTTGGGACTTGCTAAACAGCACAGTGATTATCATCCCGTGTGGATGCCCTTAAACCTAGATCATCTCAAGTCCCATTGGACTGGAGACAGAAGATGTGCTTATCTCTGTAGGGCTTAGTTCCTGCAGTCATCAGGATGGTTGTCCTTTGGGAGCAGCATTAGACACCTTACAGGTGCTTCTGTGCCTCTGTAGGAGGAGAACCTAAGCAGAGCAGCTGGATTCTGGTGCTGCTGAGCACTTCCACTTCTGTGGGAAGTTCATTTCACCTCCCTGGGAGGTGACAGCAAGATCCAAGTCTCAGAGGAGCCGTTACTGGACTTGCAGATGCACCTGGATGCTGGATGCTTCAAACAAGACCTTGAGCACAAAGGGCCATTCCTTGGCCAGAGCTGTTGGAGCTCAGCCTGTGGAGGTGGTAGAGGGGACAGTGTTGTGCCTTCACAGCTGTCTCTGTGCCTCCCCCTCCTGCCCAGGGCCAGCTGCCCTGCCACAGGAGACTAGCTGGAAGCTTGCCTGACAAAGTATTTGAAGTATGTGCAGGATGAAATGCTGCTGCACTTAATGACTTAATGGCACATAATGGCCTATGCATTTGGCAGTTGTCCATTTCTGGGTTTTTATCTTGAATAAATATTTTGTAAGGCAATGCTCGTAATGTGAAAAGTCTGTTGTTAATTGCGCCGCAGCAGAAAAATCAAATGGGCAAGTCCAAGTCTCTGTACAAGTGTGGCCGTGGTACATAATCCCTCTGCTCTTACAGATAATGTGGTCAGGAGCTAACTTGTGCCAGTGTAGGAATTGTTCCTATCTGACTTAGCCAGGTGGGGTCTGGCAGCTTGTCCAGGTTGTGGCGGAGACCCTGCCAGCCAATCAATAAGCTATTGCTTTAATGAATTGCATTTTTAGGAACATAAGATGGGTAGAGATGACTCTGTGTTACCTCAGCTTTGTTGTAGAGCTGGTGGGAGGTGGGAATTGGCTGTCTCTATCCAGATCCTGCTGCTCCAGGCACTGTGGCAAACACTTTGTGTACCATGGCAGAGCTGTGATCAATGCTGCAAGGGGAGCAAGTTGAAGTCCATCTGTGAGAAGAAGCATCTTTCAATTGGAAATATTATTTACTGAGATGTTTGCTTTGGGCTGTAGCTGGTTTATAACCAGAATCATGAGTTCCATCAATTTCTGGACTGGTTTTGGTGACTATCCAAGCTAATTTTCTTGCATTTGCAAGAACATTTTTCGTCTCTACTGCTGAATGCAAAATCCAAGCAGAAGGTTGCTCACTTGCCAACATTTTGTGCAACAGCCTTCAGAGTAGGGAGAAAAAAATATGCCTGAAGTAGTCTTCAATGTCACTGGCTTTTTGTAAGAAGGCAATGCCACTTCTAGTAACCATGAGTTAAGGACCCTTAAAAATCTGATCCTGTAATTTTAAATTACAGTATTGCTTAGGTTTTTTTCTGTCCAGAAGAGTGCTCTTTACTTTTTGTGAACACAGCTGTCCTTTTCCATGGCACTGCAGCAAGTTTGAAGTTAGAGGAGTTTGAACTTTGTGTTTTCAGAATGGTACAATAAATCTTCATTACAGAACTACCTGGGAAAGGTCTGAAAAGGACTGTTAAGTTTTATTTCTCCCATGTCCTTCAGCTTTTAAATTGAAGGACTGCTGATGTTTGTGACAAATCAGTCTATAGACACATTTTACAGTATTGCCACAAATGTTTTCATTGCAATCAAGTGAAAAAATCGGCAAAATTTGAGCAGCAACCAGGATGAGCAGCACCAAGAATTGTTCTGAGAACTGACATACTGTAACACCAAGTATTATTTTAATGAGAGACACAGTGGCACCTGGCTGAGTTAGGAACACAAGCTGTTCTGATCTTCAGCCAGTGATTTTCTACCCTTTTTTGGGTAACCAGCTACAACACAAGCTTCGTTCAAAATTTTAATTGAAATCTGGGTTTGGTAGCTTGAACTACCTTGTCCTAGATTAGAGCATACACGAAGAGTGGATGTCATGGTTGGCAATGAAAATGAGGGATTACTGACTGCTGCTGCAGGAGGGAAGTGGTGAGAAAGCTGTGGAATCCAAAACCCTTCTGCCAGGGAGAAATTTGCCTCCCCACAGGTCCTGACCATGGTGGTAAAAAAGAACCCAGAGGGGGCTTGAGACAAGAAATGAAAACAAGAAGAAAGAGGAAACAGTGAGCTTCCACCTCCCCTGGGACTCTGGGGCTGCTTGATGGGCTTTGTTTCCCAGTGGAAATTGCTCTGGGGAGCCTCTTCCCTGAGGGCTGGCCAGGCTTGCTGGGAGCCCCCAGAGCCAGCTCCTTGCTCTGCTCTGGGGAGCAGGACAGCACCAAGAGCACTGTGCTGTTTGCCAGAACACTCCTCAGCTGGTGTGGAAAATTACAAGGGGCACAGCCCCAAAAAGCCAAGGCATTTGTTCTGGTTTTCCAAACACTTCATTAATGTCATTGACAATACCAGCAGGTTCCTCAGATTAGCGTGCTTCTATTTTTGAAGAGTTGTTCCTCATGGCAGGCTGCCAGGCAGTGCCAGCAGCCTCAGTATCCTTTCTGTCAGGATTGGCAGGGCACACTGCTCCATTGCCTTTCATTACCCTTTGTGAGGATTTACAGCTGCAGCTCTTTGCTGTGCTCCCCCACACCTTGGGGAAAATGCACCTTCTTTGGGATTCCCAGCTGGACCTGTGCAAGGCAGAAATCTCCTCTGCTGCAGGAAAAAAGCCACTTTTCTGCTGGTGGGTGGAGGCAAGGCACAGGCAGCAGATGAGCTGAGCAGGGTTTGGAGGGTGAGGAGCATGGAGGGACACAGAATAAGGAATCCCAGTCTGCCTGCAGATGAGCTTGAGAAACTGCAACCCTAAAGACAGTCCCAAACTTACCCTCCTTGGATTTCTGTGTCTGAAATGGGCAGTGGTAAGGAGATGTCTCCTGAGGTCAAAATGGTGCTGTGCCCTTTTTGTGATGCAGTGATACAAAAAAAGGTGTCAGAACTCAAATGGAGGTTGAAAGCTGGACTCAGCTTGTGTGGCTTGTAGGACAGGGCTTGTCCCTTGCTGTCCCATTGGGCCCTGGAGGGTCCCGAGTTCACCCCAGGGAAAGCAGAGGAGGATTGTGACAAACCCTCACAAACCCTTGCTGAACATAAAAGACAATTTCCCCCTGACTTCAGACCAGGAAGCTGCCAAATGCCTAGGATGTAGTGTGATGGTTTTTCTCCTCGGGCATTAGAGCAGAAGTGGAGTGAGGAGGTGGCTGTGGGACTTGGCAGCGATGCATTGGGAGGAAGCAGTGGAGCAGATGCAGTAATCAGAGTACAATCAAAGCAGCCCTCACACATGTTATTTCTCTTGCTGTGGGACCATCCTGGGCAGTGTGGGTGTATCTTTACAGGCAGCATCCCCTCACAGCAAGGATTTAAGATGAGTTTCTTCCCTTCACCTCACAAATACAAGATTTGCAGGTTTTTGGCTGTTTAGTTGGCATCCTGCAGTCCCTTTCCTAAGTGCTCTTTGTGTCCACGGGAGGCTGAATGGCCATTTCTCTGCTGGGGTGAGGGAACAAGCCACACACAAGCCCTGGGCAGCACTAACAAACCAACTGTGGGAGTCACACCCCTTGCAAAGGCTTCCAGAGAAAAGTCCTTCCTCTCCTCAGCTGTGCTGGTGGAGACCAGGGAGTGCTGATGGAGTGGAGCCAAACCTCCTGGGCAGGGCTGTACTCTGCACTCATGTACTACTGCCCTGTGCAGTGGGTTACTCCGAGTTTGCACCAAATCAGCAGGGTTTATTGCAGTCATGGTGGATTTACTGAGCTCTGCCTCGAGGCTGAGCTGTTATTTTTCCTTTCAGTTTGGGCTCTCAGGTGCACAAATGCAACTCTGGCTGAGTCTGTCCCTGCTGATGCAGGCAGAATGGGGTGAACAGAGCCTGGGCATTCAGGGGTGCTCTGGATTCACACAGCATCCTCCAAATGAGCCCTCCCCGGGCATGCAGTGACATTGAACTGAGTGGTCCCACCCTCAACATCCTCTGGAGCTCTGCTGTGTCCTGGCTGCACCCAGCACCCTGGGGCTTCAGCTGAGTCAACAGGGCAGGAAAAAGGCTCTAGGAAAAGAAAATCACTGCAAATCAGGCCTTGGGAACAGCATCTGCTTTATGGCAGAGATTTAATCTCCTTAGCAATCGCCTCAATTGTAGAATCAGCAGGATGCTAATTAATTGAGAGGTGCTCAGTGACAGCCATTGAGATCCCTCCTGGCTTTAAGTGGAAGCCTTTTGGGTTTGGCATTTGTGCTGGCTGCTCTCCTAGCAAGAGGGTCTGCCTTGGGGCCAAAGCCCTGTGTGGGGTGTCTGACCCCAGTCACCTCGGGCTGCCTGTCCCTCTCTGCTGGCCGTGCCCGGGGCTGGGGTGCACACACAGCCCTGAGAGGAAGCCACGGCTGAGGGAAGCACTGCCCTGGCCTCCCTCTCCTGGCTCTCGGCCAGCAGAGAGGGGTGGCTGCAATCCATGAAATACCTCACCCTGCCTCCCTCCGGCCCTTCCAGCCGGGAGCCAGCCCCTCACCTCCACCCTGAAAGTCCACAAGCCGATTAAGCCCAGCATGTTAATTGGCTGTGACAGCTCATTTTGTTATCTTGCATTTTGTTATTGATGGGGTGCGTGTGACTGGATTGGCAGGGAAGGTCATTGCCAGGATGGGCCAGAGCCCCTTGTTTGGTGCACCCCAGCACGTGGGAGAGGCTCCAGGAGCCCTGCCAGGATCAGCTGCAGGGCAGCAGCCACCTCAGGGGGCATTTAACCCTGGCATGTGCAACACCCTGACTCAGAGCTCATGGAGACCCCAAGAGAAGAGGGTTTGGGTAGTGCAAACCACTCTTTCCAGGGCTGGGTGATACAAAGAATGGATTTAAAGCCCCTGAGGTGGGAAGATGCACAGGCCAGGGCAGCACCTGGTATCCAGCTCTCCCCAGACCAGTTTGGGGACTTTGTCTTGGTTTTGTCTTAGGCTTCTACAAGGGACAGGGCTAAGAAGGGAAGGAGAGGATGAGTGTGCAGGGAGCTGGAGAGCTGAGAGAGGGAGGCTTGTGGTTGTCCAGTGGGCCAAGAGCTGTGGGAGGAAGAGATGAAGGCCTGCCTCAGGAAGTGAGAGAGGCTGGTGTTTCAGAGACAACGTGCTGTCCTGGGACAGCAGTGACACACTTTGGCCAGCCCTCTGCCCCTCTCCCAGCATCTGCTGGGTCCATGGCCCAAATGCAGCATAATAAGAGAGTGCATTAGTGAGAAGTGGGATGAAATCATTAGGATTGATGAACCAGAGCTAGAGGTATTGATCAGCTGAGAGCCAAGGAGAAGGTCAGGGGCAGAGCTGGTGGGGTACAAGGCAAGGGGAGCTGGGTGGTGGGCTGCTCCTGTGAGGGCTTTCTTGACCATCAAGGAGGAGGGACTGCAGGTGGCTGCAGCTGGCAGGGACTGGGGAGCTGTGGAAACTCTGAGAACAGAAGTTCAGTGTTCCAAATCCATCACCCTCCCCCTAAAGCATCACAGCAGCTTGCAGCTAGAGAGGTCAGCCCTTGGAAGTGGCATTATTCCATCCTCCAAGGGAAGGCAAGAGTGG